AAAAATGGTTTCTGTACATAAGTTGAAAAGGCTAGGCGACAGCACACATCCTTGTCTTACTCCTCTCTTGATCTCTATCTGGGGTGAGCAGATGTTGTCATATCTTACTGTTGCTTCTTGCTCCCAGTATAAGTTTCTAATAAGTCTGATATCCTTTCCATCTAGTCCTATGTTTTGAAGAGCTGCAATTAGTTGTTCATGTTGCACTCTGTCGAAAGCTTTTTTGTAATCTATAAAACATGCATAAATATTTTTCTGAACTTCTATATATTTTTCAGTCAGCATCTTTAGACAAATTATGGCCTCTCGAGTACCACTGTTTTTACGGAATCCAAATTGCTCTTCAGAAACTTCTTTCTCTATTTTATCTTGAATTCTCGCTTGTATTATCTTCAAGAGTAACTTCGTTACGTGACTCATTAGGTTAATAGTTCTGTAATCTTCACAATCAACAGCTTTTGATTTCTTGGGTAGTGTGATAAAAACAGATGTTTTCATGTCCCTGGGAATGTACCCATAGTTATAAATGTCATTGCATATTTCTGTGATAGTATCAATTCCAAAAGTAGATAATGATTTTAACATTTCTGCAGTTATGTTGTCTGGACCTGCAGCTTTTCCCTGCTTCATCTGTTTAATGGCATTCTCTACTTCAGACTTTAATATGTTTGGTCCCTCTTGAATATTATGGATTGGCGGTTTGTCACCTCTGTTGTCCCACAACAGGTCTTCTGTGTATTCAGTCCATCTTTTTATTATATCTTTCTTATCAACAATAATTTGTCCATCCTTCCCCCTAATACATCCATTTCCTGTTAAATGTTTTTCCTTGTTTGTAAGTTTTCTTATATTTGCATGTATTTCCTTGGTTCTGTGTTTTATTTCAAGATCCTCTATTTGTTTGCATTTTAACTGAATCCATGTTTCCTTTGCAGTTTTACACATATTTCGTATTTCTTTGTCTATTGAGGAATATTCTGGAGTGTTTTTTGCTCTCTTCCATTGTGTCATTTTGTTAATAATTTCCTCAGTCATCCATACTTGATTTTTCTTGTTTTCTTTCACTGGTAAGATGGCATTAGCTGTTTCTATACTAGTTTTGAAACATTCCCATTTTGTATTAATTTTGTCCTCTGGATTCTCCTGTCGATATTGTTCCATGCTTTCAACTATCAATCTGTCATATTTAATTTTTAACCTCCACTAGGTACTGCTGGCTTATTTCTGGTTGTTATACATATCATATACACCTTGTTTAATAATAACTTGATAATGTAATATGGGTTACATTACATTCAAGGTGACATATAATCGCTTGTAAGTGTGAATTGAAAAAGTTTACGATTAAATGAATAGGCACTTTTAGAATTTTTCAGCTCTAGTGGAAGCTGGTTCCACAGATGAGCAGCGGAGTACGCTAAACTTGTTTTATGTAAATCTATTTAAGGTTTAGGCAAATGTAATAAATTTAGTCGCTTGCTGTTTATATGATTTGATTTAATTGATGATAAAAGATAGTTTGGAGTATTTTGAGATAAACTTTTATGAATAAATTTGGTCTTGTTAAAAATTAAACGTTTGCTAAATGGCAATAGTCTTAGATGGTTAAAGTGATTATTTTTTTTTTTCGATACGTTTACTATAGGAAACCAGTCGTAAAGCACGGTTTTGAAGAGAACTTAGTCTTTTAACATTGGATTTGGCGCAACCATCCCAAACTGTGGAACAATAGTCGACATGTGTTTGGATGTAGGACGCGTAAAATACTTGTCTTGCATCTTTGTCTAGAAAGCGCTGAATTTTGGCGAGCTGGTAAACTTTTTGTGCTATTTTCTTAGTTATGACAGAAACATGAGAATTCCAGGTTAAATGGTTGTCAATTGTAAGGCCTACAGTTTTGTGTTCCGTTACATTAACAGTCGGTAATTTATCAATATAGAGCTCGAGTGTTGGTTTGTGCAATACACAGACAGACAGACAGACAGACAGACAGACAGACAGACAGACAGACAGACAGACAGACAGACAGACAGACAGACAGACAGACAGACAGACAGACAGACAGACAGACAGACAGACAAGCAGGCAGACAGGCAGACAGACAGACAGACAGACAGACAGACAGACAGACAGACAGACAGACAGACAGACAGACAGACAGACAGACAAGCATAAAGACAGACAGTCAGACAAGCAGACAGACAGACAGACAGACAGACAAGCAGGCAGACAGACAGACATACATACATACAGACAGACAGACAGACAGACAGACAGACAGACAGACCAGACAGACAGACATAGAACGCTAGTGTACCTTGTTGTAATGCTTGATTAGTTCCTTGAGACAGAACTCTGACTTGACCATCCTGTAGTGCCTTCGGAACTGGCGCTCCTCTGGAGTAAAGAATATCTCGGACGAAGTCGGGTGACGTTGGGTCTTCTCTTTGCTGTCAGAGTCTGAGGCCGAGTCGTACTGCGACGTCGTGTTGTTGTCCATTGTTTCTGGAAAAACACACGAGACGACTGACACCCACGCACGCTGGACTACATGTTAGTTACTCGTTGCTTTGTTGGTGTTCCAGTGTACATGTGCGGTATGGCGCTACGGTTGAACGCACTTTTACAGATTTGCTGTTATATAATTCTTACTTTGAAGATGTTAACCACACAAAATGCCATGTAAAAACATGACAAGGAATGGGACAAACTTCATATCGCATGGTTCTTTGGGCTTGCTAGTAAAAATACCCCACTTTCATAATATTCATGTATCCAGTGTATACAACTCAAAATTATAGGTTATACAGTATTAAAGGGCTCCATACCACTGTAGATGGTCAGTAAAAAAAACAGTTGTACAAGTGCATGGCTCATGTCCCTCCACTGTTGTTTTCTCCCCTCATACTTTCATCACCTGTCGGCTCTGTGGCTAAGTCGATGTAAACGCTTCGTAATGCTGGGATGCCGGGTTCGATCCCAGCTGCGGGCCATGCGTTGGTTTCGACAGTGGTATCAAGAAAGCCGGCCGTCCAGAAAGCAGTGGCAAACTACTGGACGTAAATTTGCCTAGAAAACCACACAACAGCCAGGGGCTGTTGGGGTTGGTTCATGCTGGTGGCCTGGTTGGAGTACACCTCTGCTTTATGCAATGACCAGCGAGGCAGGGGAAAACATACACAAAGCAGACGCAGAGTTTAGACTGGTTGGTGATGTGGACAAATCAGGTAAATTCTACAGCCGTGACTAGAGAGTAGTGATTGGGCTCCGTGACCAACGGTGGCTACATACAAAAATGCTGATGAGGGAACAAAAACAACTGGGTAATAGGCGAACTGTGATGAATTACAAACATCTTTGGTCGTGGAACAACAGCTGGGTTCTTGTTCTGACTGACAATACTGGGGCCAGTAAATCTACCACGGGTCTGCTCTAGAGATGTACGTTCTCAACAGAAACTAGCAGTCTCTTATAAACCTTCAGTTAATAACAGATACACAATTATTTCATGACAGATAAAATACCTTTAGAAACCCCTCTTACAACGGTGACGACGGCAACTATGACGGCACCCTGACGGGCCGAACTGTTGGTTTGTACTTATCCGAGTGCCTAAATTTGCTGCATGTTGTCCGGTGTTTAACTTCTCTCAACGTTGCAATTGTTTTGTTGTTTACATTGTGTAATTGCCCCCTACAGTCAACATACGTTCAGAACGAGACTGAAATAGTGCGTTACATTCCCAAAGTTTTCTGTACCAGCTGGGTACAGTCATTTGCTGGTAGTGACTTGTCGTTGTTGAGAAATCTAATCATGGAAAGATAAAAACGCAAACGAGACAGTGTTCCTAGAGGTAAAACAAAATCGTCAACTGGTTAGATACATTAGTTGCAAACAGTCCGTGTTGTTCGGACATGCTATTGGAAGCACTGGCTCGAGAAAATTGCCTATGCATAGCGGTAAGCAACGTGATGATGATGAACAGCTGCGATTTACCTGTACCTGCACCTTCTCTGTACACTCGGGACTAATCTACACAGTGTAGCCTCCCTCGTTTGTACCTTCTATTTACACTCGGGACTTACCTGTGTAGCCTCCCTCGTTTGTAACTTCTGTGTACACTCGGGACTTACCTGTGTAGCCTCCCTCGTTTGTACCTTCTATGTACACTCGGGACTTACCTGTGTAGCCTCCCTCGTTTGTAACTTCTGTGTACACTCGGGACTTACCTGTGTAGCCTCCCTCGTTTGTAACTTCTATGTACACTCGGGACTTATCTGTGTAGCCTCCCTCGTTTTTAACTTCTGTGTACACTCGGGACTTACCTGTGTAGCCTCCCTCGTTTGTAACTTCTATGTACACTCGGGACTTATCTGTGTAGCCTCCCTCGTTTGTAACTTCTGTGTACACTCGGGACTTACCTGTGTAGCCTCCCTCGTTTGTAACTTCTGTGTACACTCGGGACTTATCTGTGTAGCCTTCCTCGTTTGTAACTTCTGTGTACACTCGGGACTTATCTACACAGTGTAGCCTCCCTCATTTGCATATTCTCTGTACACTCCATACTTACCTGTACCGTGTAGCTTCCCTCATTTGCATGTTCTCTCTACAGTCGGGACCTAACCTTTACCGGCTGTCTGTGTGGCTGCAGCATCGACTCTTGACGCCGAACTCCCTAGTGATCAGACAGCAGTGATTAAATCATACAGGAATCAAGTGAATATAGCAGAGCAGGACTGGAGTATTCATGTGTGGAGAGACTGGTTCTATGAAGAGGGGATCAAGTATCTGACGTAACAAGTCTGCACGAAATATTACTGGCGGACTTGGGCCTCGCTGCAACATGCACTATAAACTGGACACCTCTTCTTTAGCTCCACAAGAAGGAACACGGGACTATGCATCCTTAGTGCAGCAATGATAATGAGTGAATGATTCATTCATGTATCTATGCGTTCAACCTTTCCACCTTCTCTGTACAACGTGTTTAGAGCTTGTGTGAATGTCATTGTATGTCTGCATATGTGCATACGCGTGGGTGTGTATGTATAAATATAGTTTTATACATGAGTGTATGTGTGTGGATATATGAGTGTGTAAGTGTATGTGTGAATGTATACCTGTATGTATGCATGCGAGTGCATGAGTGTGGTTGTGTGCTTGTGTATGTGGTTGCTAAGCGATTAGTTCAGAAACAAAATAGTTATTGCCATAAAATGCAAACACTGAGTCATTTAATCTTACTGGGCCGCAGCTCGGAATCCATGTTTTGTCCATTTCCACTATAATTTGTTTATCGTTTTATCCGCCACTAAAATGTTAACATCTCCGCTTAGAATCAACCTACAGGCTTCAATCAGGTATCCTTCGATTTGTTATATATATATAAATTATGTACTTCAGTTCGGACGAACAGGGTTAATGTCGAACCAGTTACACGTTTGATTGTAACGCAAGCGTGAAGACTGCTGAATACAAACCAAGGAATTTAAGTGAGTGAATTATCGAGAAACCAGGAAGCATGATGTCACAGACCTCTGGGTGACCTTGATGGTCAGTGGCTCGTAACTGGGCCTATGACAGACAAACTAACTTTAACACACACTGGACCCGAAAGCACACAGAGCACACATGACAATCTTTATTGCAAGTACAGATAATACAACAGACAGTTGACTTCCCGCTGTATGGCCACCTATTGCCTGGACCCTCTGGCCGAACGAGCTTTACAATCGCCTCGCTCTCCAGTCCGTTCCACGGGCAATCTCGGGTGTGCAAACCACACCTATGCGGGGAGACGTTCTTTCCTATCGTCACACAGACCTATTAATATGTCAAAGCCTCTGAGCGCAGGGCCAATGTGAAAAGCTAGACATTATCTCACAGAACATGTATTTAACTGCTTTAATTGATCTGAAATAAATGGACACTACTAACTTATTGTGAAACAACACAATACATTATACCATTTAAATACACAACACAAAAAGACTATCCGATTATAACATAACATTGTAAATCATCTATGCAGTCACTAAAGTAATATCCTTTATCTCTCAGGTGAAATGGTTTGCCCACTTAGAGAGAATGCCTTGTGACACCATACCATACAAAGCATACATGAAAAGAGAAGAAGGACGTAGAGAACGAGGTAGACCAAGAACAATATGGAAAGATTACATCAGAGAAACTCTACAACAGCACGATGTGCCTATGGTCGAGGCGGCCAGAAGAGCTAGAGACAGAACCGTATATCTCCCTCGACACCCACAGCGGTAAAAGAGGAAGTGAAGAAGAGAAGAAGAAAAAGAAAGTAATATCCTACTGAACTCGGTACACCCTTTGTATGGTCTACTCCGCCACGTGACTGTACTCATAGAGTTCTGACATATGAGATTACTTAAGTCGAAGAATAAGCGAAAAGAGACAGTCTCGTGTTTCCAGGAACGGTGTCTGTGATGTGGAATGAATGAAGTTCGCGTTGAACCAGATTTTGGCTGTCGGACAAACCCTGGCTACCGTTCGTTTAGCAGTTCTAGTCCAGACCGGACGTGTTGTTGTTTAGTCAGCGCGGAAGATTAGGATTTGTTAAATTATCGCCGTCAGATTATTCATGTGCTTCTCGCCCTCAATGTAATTGTTCACTTGAACTATATTTAGCTGTCTGTTGCGCTGCGATCCCTGGACTGTTACCTCAGGGTGCACTGGGTTGGAGGCGATTGTGTAACTGAATAAACATTGGCGTTGGCATCAGCTGTTCGTTCACAGTGTGGGTGTTTCGACCTGTTGAAGTGTAAGTGGGTGCACATGTAAAGTCTGCAGATGACTGGAGCCAAGAGAGTTGAAGAAAGAGAGTCATTGCATATGTGAATGAGTGTGCTTGTGTCTGTGTACGTATGGGCATATCAGAGTGAATGTGTGCGTGTATGTTTGGAGTGTTTGTGCTTGTGTATACATGATGTTTGTATGCATTATTTCATTATGTATCATTGATATAAACATAACTTGCATTATTTATAGCATGTATTACCTATAACATGCGATTGTGGTCTGAAAGATGAGTGCTTGGAAGAGCCGAATATAAGACGGGCCTGCGTGCCCAATTTGTAACCCTTTAAAAAAAGTTCGTCCATCTCTCTCTCTTTCTCTCTATCATGCTCTCTCTCTCTCTCTCTCTCTCTCTCTCTCTCTCTCTCTCTCTCTCTCTCTCTCTCTCTCTCTCTCTGACAACTGTCCTTATACACTGATTGTCAGGTCTTGGTCAGATATGACTGAGCTACCCTATAACAGTAGCCGGTACCACCTGTCTTCTGTTACACCGAATGATGGGCGTCGTATACTAACCCAACATCCTATATTGTGCCAACGGCTTTGGGCGGAGGAGCGCATTGGGGCGGATATTTTCCTTATCCAAGAAGGAGGAAATGCAACCTGAATACATTATGTTATGGCAGGGAGGACCAGGCCCTTCGCCTTGGCTAGCTGCTGGTCTAGGAGGGA